AGCCCGTAAGACAGGCACAGTGACTGTCCTCTGAGTCGAACCCGCCACAGCTTGAAACATGTGCCCCAACTCCTACATAAACGTCCCCTCGATTGCACTAAGTTAATGCAATACGAGCCAGTCTGCAAATGTCAGTGGAACAATCACTCTCCCTGTACGCTCTTCCCCAAAAGTCCCAGGAAAACACACTCTGGGTTCCCATTGCTTCCAGGAAAACTCTCCCTCTTGTTTTCAGCAACTGAAGTCTCCGATTCTATGTCACAGAATCATTTCCTGTTTTTCTCTCATAAGTAAATATCATCATATCTTGATGGTCATACAGATACTTATTCAGAAATTAATGGATGGTCATCTAAAATGTTCTCTAGCTACATCAGGGGCTTAGCTTACAGCAATCACACTCAAATATCATGCTCCTAGGAAGCTTCCCTGGTCTCCTTGTATGACTTCCATTTTTACTGCCAATCTCGATTCAGAAATTATCAAATCTTTTTCTGTTTATTGTTTAAAAAATAATATACACTACAATGATATCTCCAAGGTTTGTCCCATCATATTCTCTTATCTTCTATATCAGCCCAACTACAAATGGGTTCCTTATTTCATCATGCTCAAGACTGGCATTCTCTCTCACATCAATTGTTCATCTTTTTATCATCCGTCCAACAGCTACCCATGGAGTGTCTACCACCCCTCACTTCTTAAGCTTTTGTTTTCAGGCAATCTAATGCTTTCCTCCCTGAACGAAATCATTGCTTCAGACACCCCTAATTTAACATTTTCTTCTGTGTTTCTTCAATGGGCAGTGCTTTTCATCATTCCCCCCAGTATACAGCATCCTCACCTGTCATCTCTACGATACAGATTTGCACCACACAATAAAATTATCTCTGCCATCCTGGAATGGCATTTGCCTGTCATTCAGAGTTTACTGCTCTCTTCCCTCAATTGCACCTAACACATTGAGGACTTCCCTGTCCTCCCCAATCCAAAGTTCTTTTTTTTCTTTAATAATTTATTTTGTTGTTGTTGAAAATATACACAGCAAAACATACCCCAATTAAAATATTTCTACAGCAACAATGATTACATTTTTCAAGTTGTGCAACCATTCTCACCCTCCTTTTCTGAATTGTTTCTCCCCATTAACATAAACTCACTGCCCCCTAAGCTTCCTATCTAACCTTTCAAGTTGCTGTTGTCAATTTGATCCCATACAGATAGTTCTTTAAAAAAGCACAATGCTCAAGGCAGACATTCTTTACTAACTTAGCTAAACTACTGTTTCATTTTAAGAAGACTTCAGGGGATATTTTTGGTTTAAGGTTTAAAGATTATGTCAGGGCAATAGTTTCCGGGGTTCATCCAGCCTCAATCGCTCCAGGACGTCTGGATTCCATGAGAATTTGAAATTCTGCTCTGAATTTTCTCCCTTTTGATCAGGACTTTTCTATAGACTCTTTGATCAAAATGTTCAGTAATGGTAGCTGGGTATCATCCAGTTCTTCTGGTCTCTTGGCAAAGGAGGCAGTTGTTCATGGAAGCAATTAGCCATGCATTCCATTTCCTCCCCCTATTCCTGACTCTCCTTCATCTGTTGCTCCAGGTGAATATAGACCAATTGTTGTTGTGTCTTGGATGTCTGCTTGCAAGCTTTTAAGACCCCAGGCACTATGCAACAAACTAGGAAGTAGAACAGAAGCACTAGAAATGATATTAAGCCAATTAACTGGGATTCAAAGCTCTTTTCCCCAACACTTTTACATGGCTCTGTCCTTGCAACTCTCTAGGTCTGTAATCTTGACTATAATTGCCACTAGCCACATGAGGGTATAGACCACTTGAAATGTGGCTAGTCTGAATTGAGATGTCCAAAAAGTGTAAAATATTGGAATTCAAAGGCTTAGTATGAAAGGAGGATGTAAATATCTCATTAAAAACTTTTTATATTGATAATGTTGAAATGATAATATTTTAGACATATTAAGTTAAATTAAATATATCATTAAAATTAATTTCACCCATTTCTTTTTACCTGTTTAATGTGGCTACTAAAATTTTTTTGATTACGTATATGGCTTGCATTATATTTCTACTAGGCAGCACTGCTCTGGGCTGGTCCGTTGATTTGTACTTTAAAATCTTCCCTACTGGTTCAAAAATCCTTCCTCTTTTTATCATTCCTAGAAGAGAATAGGAAGACCCAACTCTTTCTACTACTCCCCAAGCTCCAAACCAAGAATTCTTTTCAATCTACTCTTCTCAATGCCTTCTCTACTGCATTATTCTGTACGTAGTATCTCTTTTTGCCTGCTAATACAGCATCTACTTCTGCAATCAAATTCACAATAAAGTTCTGGTTTTTTCTTCATCAATTCTAGTAGAGAGTGTTGTCTAATTCTCAGCAAAATAATTTTTTTAAAAAGTTCCTATAATTCTCAATGAAAAGAACTTCATCCATCATTCTCCAAACTGGCCTATCTTCACACTAATTTCATTTAAAAGGGCTGGTAAATTGTAAAGCACTAAACATAAACTAATAATGATTTCAGACAAACGTAACCCATCCACACTAGGACAACAATTCCTCCTCTATCATTTTAAAGATAGCATTCCTCCTCCAAACTCTTCAAACACTGAGATTGCAATCTTATTATTCTCAGCCAAGAACTCTCCTATTTCACTCCAAATATTCTAAGACAATTCCCAAAACAGAGTGTTTGTTTTCCATCCATTTACAGCATGGGCCACGTGTCATCACTCATCAGACTGATTTTCTGCCTAACATTTCTGGAATTGTATTTTCTTTCCTCAGCTATCTCAGGAAAAACTCAAGCCTGGGAAGGTGGACTGAGTGGTCTGGAGAGGCAGAGTTGGCAGAGTTTGTACTTAGGGCAATGAGGAGCCACCATCACAGGTGAAACCTCTCACTCACTATTCCCTGGTATGTTTCTGCTGAAATCCGTCCTCACTGCTGCCCTGCCCAGCAGCCCACTGTAACTCTTGTTTGTACCCATGCCCAGAGTCAGGGCCTTCCCTCAGCATGCTCTCAAAGCGCCACCTCTGCGAACAGCTCCTTCCCATCACTCCTAGCAAGAAATGCCTTGCCTTTACCCCAAGAACAACCCAGGTCTCTTTTGTTTCCAGCACTTCCACACAGAGATCTTTCCTTCATCATCTCATGGAAATAAATTCCAGTTTCCCATCACTCCCAGTATTGAAAACCTTTAAAGAAAACTACTCCCAGGGTTGAAACTTCTCCCCGTTTCCTAGAATTTTTATTTGACTCCCCGCAGCCCTCTCAAGACAGAACTCTTTCCACACACACATCTGGTCCAGAGAGCCCAGTATAGAAACCCCTTGTATGTGTCTCTTCCCACAAACAGCCTTCTCTCGAATGTTCCCATACACAGCTCGTTCCTTGGCCCTTTCCTCAGTTCTTCCTTCCTCAATATCTCTCTTCCGTTCTTTTCCTCTTTAGTCCTCTCTCTCAATGTCCAATCTTACAGTCAATATTCTATCTGCTACACAAAGAAGCCCCCATATACACGGTCCAATAAGAGCCAAGTGGCCCTGAAGGGTGGGACAAATTGCTTGCCACCCCTCAGCCCTCCTCCCTGGCATCCTCCAGCTCATCCCTTCCCAGGCTGTCTGCTCCTCCTCCAGCCCTGCTGGGCCCATGACTTCCAGAACCATCACTCTGGTGACCTGCCTTGCTCTCTCTTCCCCCTTAGGAACATCCAATTGCAAAAATTCCACTGACCTTTTATTCACAAAAGCATCTTGCTGGTGGCCCACCTCCCACCCCCCTCACCCACCCCGGCCTTTTCCTCCCACCTTCAGCTGCCACTCTGTCGTTTCCTTTCATCCTCCTGATCCAACCAGGTACAAACAAGAACAAGACAGCTGACTCCAAAAGCCCAAATGCCTGGGACTAAAGAGGAAAAGAGGGAAGCAGGCCCCATGGCAGCCCTTGGGGTCAGGAGGAGTGGTTAGCTCTGGACAATTTCAGGAAGGACCCAGAAACCTAAGAGAACCATCAGGAATTGCCCTCTCCTGGCAAAGGACAAAAAGGACTCTTGGATCTCCTTCTTGCCTCTGCCAGAGCCACCCTCAGGCTCCTGAGGTCCCTTCCACCTGCTAAGCTGGATGTGACTAATGGTTGAGCAGAGGAGGATTCACCCTAATGCTAGAGAAGTTTAAGCTTCAGAGCCCTACACTTGCAGATCTGTAAGCTTTACATCTCAGAACACCTGGATCTGCCCCTGGGCAGGTGAAAGCTCCTGGGGCTTCTGGGGGTTAAGGGCCAACGGGGGGACAGAAGGGCTACAAATGCATTGGTATAAACAGGGCTCGGTGCAGTACACCCTGATTATACGGTGAGGGCACCCTCCCATGGAGGGTCCAGGGCACCTGCAGGACCTCTTAGCCGAATCTTTCTGCTTCCAGAATCATATCTGAACTCTCAAACCTAGGACTCTGGGCCACGCCCAGCCCAACCCGCCTTTAGCCTTTCTGCTGGCCCCGAAGACAGCTTAGGGCCGGCGGGCTCCAGCTCCCTGCCAGCTTCACGTTTCCTCGGATCCTCACCCAGTTCTTCAAGGCTGGGCTCTAGACCTGCCGGTTGAGACGCGATGAGACCTCTTTTTGCCCCTGCATCCACAGAGCCCAGGCATCCCGCCCCAGGCGTCAGGGGTCAATGCACTCTGCCCTCCGAAGCCAGAGCTGCCTGCCCTACTGAACTGACAGCCCAGAGTCGTCCCGGCTGGCGGCCCTCTCGTCCTGGAGTCCTGCTGCCATCCGCAGGAGTCCCACCCGTGCGGCTTCCCTACTCCCGGCTGAGCAGAGAAACGAAGGGCTCTGGAAGGAGGCGCGGGGTGCGAGGCTGGGGGGCTGCGGGGCGGGGGCGTCAGTCGGAAGGGAGCCGGGGGTCCTTGGCCAGGCTCCGAACTCTGGGTTGGCGGTCCGAGGCGGGCTCCGGCCGGCGCTCGGGCACTTACCCGGCAGACTCGGGAAAGTCTCAGAGAAGTGCGGCGGCGGCGGCGGCGGCGGCTCGGCCCCCTTG